GTTCTGACCCAAGCAGAGGAGTTTAAATATCTCTGGGTTTTGGTTAGTGGGTGGATGGAGGGAGGGAGGGAGGGAGGGATCTTTGGTGGATGGATGGATGGATGGATGGATGGATGGATGGATGGATGGATGGATGGATGTTTGGTGGATGGATGGATGGATAGAGGGATCTTTGATGGATGGGTGGATGGATGGATAGAGGGATCTTTGATGGATGGATGGATGAATGGATGGATGGATTGGTGGATGGATGGATGGAGAGATCTTTGGTTGATGGATGGATGGCTGGATGATGGATAGAGGGATCTTTGATGGATGGATGGATGGAGGGATGTTTGATGGATGGATGAATGGATGGGTGGATGGATGAATGGATGGATGGATGATGGATGTTTGTGGATGGATGGATGAATGGATTGTGGGATCTTTGGTGGATGGATGGATGATGGATAGAGGGATCGTTGATGGATGGATGGATGGCTAGAGGGATTTTTGATGGATGGATGGATGGCTAGAGGGATTTTTGGTGGGTGGATGGATGGATTGATGGATGGATGGATGGATGGATGGAAAATGGCATTTTAAAATCCTGTCTGTATAAGTATTCATGGTGTTTATGTCTCTGTTAGTAAAAATTGTGACCCACCTTTCCTGATGGAGCCGCTCATTCTGGACACTTTCTGTAAGGATTTTTCCACAGCTGGGTGTTTTTTTTTTTTTTTGCCCTTCTTCTCACTCTGACCTCAGAACTTTACTGACAGAYGAGAAAGAGCAGAATAAACATGAACAGAACCCTAAAGTGGTTTCAGTATTAGTTACAGAGCTCCTTTTAAAGTGAGTTATTAAAAGCACTTCAGTCTGGTAAACAGTTGTGACTGAGGGAAGATGTGTGTTTAACACAGAACCATTCATACTCTGCTGGATGAACTCAARGAGCTGGAAAACCGTCTGCGGTGGGATAAATATTGAAAAATGTCAACACAAGAAGGTCTGAATGAGGATTTTACTGGCTCATATCGGGGCTTGTGTTTCCTACAGAGCCTGTAGCTCCTACCAGCCGCCCTGAGAGCGTGTGTGAGCGATGGAGGGCCAGCTTGATGGAACATTATGGCGGGAAACCAGATCCACAGCAATATTTGCCTCAGTGCGAGGCTGATGGAGAGTTCAGGTTTGAATCCTACCTGCYTTCTCAAACAACTAAATCAAGGTGAAAAAGAAAAAAAAGGGTCTGACTGCTGTGTTGTCTCAGTCCGGTCCAGTGTTATGGAGAGACCACCTACTGTTGGTGCGTAGACCAGGACGGACGYGAAGTCTCCGGCACTCGATCTCACGATGCAGTCAAACCTGCATGTAAGTCAAGTTTTTTTTCAATGTAGCTCATTACATCATCGCCACCCTCAGTAATTAGACTTGTTTTATTTGTCCCAATCTCAATCCAGGCCTCCCAACGGTGACCCCACCCACAACTCYTCCTTTGCCCCGCCCAGATGTGACGCCACCGTCTAATGCTGACATTACACTACTGTACGCTCAGGGGCAGAAAATAGGAGCACTGCCGCTCAACGGGACCAGACTGGAGGTGTCCAGGTCCAAAACACTGTTGACTCTGCACGTAAGATGGCATCACATCTTTCCCCATATTATTATTACAAATTTATTTTATTATTGCCTTAAATGRCTGCTTTGATTGCTTTGTGATTTTCTTAAATTAGTATATTGACCAACARACAGGGTCAAAAACCTCAGGATATTTTTTCCTGCATAAAAACAGCYTTTTASCATGTCCTCTTATAAACACTGAAAAGTACTACATGTACAACTGACTAAATGTGAAATAAATAATARGGCTGTCAAGATGATGGCCATGTTCTGGATACAGATAGACCCCCTTCACCCATTACATGCTGGGGTATTCAAATATTTCATTTTCCCTTTTGTTTCTCAAATAAAGCTRGTCCTGGGGCTTTTGACTCACCCTGTAGATWAGATGTTTTAATTCTTGCTAGTGAATCAAAGCGATAATAAATTGGGAACAGGGCAAAACAGAAATGTAATTTTGCCATCACCAGTCCTTAAAGGCACGATGGACAATAATAAAAAACATGTCTAATCATTGCAGACAAAGACCTTGTTTTATTATTTTTACATTATAAAAAGCTGTTTAAATCTCCATGGTCGGGGGTCGCCCTACAAGCAGCCGCCATCTTGCACCACCATATTGTCTACGAAGGCTCAGGAAGGACAAACTGTGGTGTCGGCGTCAAAAACGGTTTTAGTTGTAATACTATAAATGTAGTATTTGTTGTCTGCCATTGTAGCTGGGATAATATTACTTATTAAAGCTCATAATCTTACCACTTGAAACATCACTAGCCCTGAAGCTGCTGGTAGACATCGTGGTTGGAATTATCAAAGGTTTTTGACACCTGAGAGACACCGTAGCAATTTTATTGCATTTGAAAGCAGGGGGGCGGGGGGAGGACCAGGGAGGATGATTCAACCACTCAACCACTAGATGTCGCTGAAAACCACAAATCCTACACACTGTGCCTTTAAATTGATGAAAACTTACCCCGGATTTACACTACATGCCACWCCGCTGCGCAGTTCGCAGCTGTTCATTTGCAACCCAAATTATACAGCGTCAGCTCCGCTCCGGTGCGACACACAGAGGAGGGAGCGTGTGCAGGAAGGAGATAAATCCAGTGATAAATGTGGAAGTCAGAGCAATAAATAATGAATTTTGTGAAAGACGAATTCCAAACACAGCTGAAAACATTCRCTGCATTTCTATTGARCATGAAAACGTGCAAATTAGAATTTCGAAAATAAATTTGCTCAATGGAAACACATCAATTTCGAAAAAACTTCCTTTTTTCGACAAAATGTTTTTGCGCTAGGAAGGTGGTTTTTTGGCCGTATTGAAATTGGTGTGTTTTGCAAAACTGCAATGGAAACAGTTTTTTTGTATCATGGGAGTCAGGTGATCAACAATCAGTTGTTTCTACTGGCGAAAAGACAGCGATGACGAAGAAGATAACAGGAAGTAGAAGTAGTAGTAAAATCACTGAAGTTGTAAAAGAAAGTAGTAAACTCACCAACTACAATTCCCCAACAAACACTGCATACGTAGCCGCTCCCAAGTATAAGGGGCTTGTCKCTCGAAAGCCTCGATCAGACGCCGACMTCTCKTCTGATGGCTGATGATGAGCGCTAGTGTCYTGGTAGCAYTATGATATGTGTTTACATCCYTCGTCGCTATGTTTGTAATGACTTATTGCGAGAACAAACGTGTTCACCCGTGACTTAAATYGCATTTCTTACTTAATGGAAACACTGCAGTTCCGAAACTGTGTTTTTTCGACATTAACAGAATATCGACAAAGTTTTGCGCACGTTTGCAYTGGAAACGCAGCTATAGATATAAAAGCATTTGATATTTATGGTTGAAACTGTATCGCTGTRGTCTTTTTGAAACTTCTGATTAAAAAAAATCCACGTGTATCGTGTGTGTACACATATGCTTCAGGCTACATGCTGCCGTCTGCTTCCCAAACAGAACGATACATTCTGATAGCATTTGTGTAGAAATATATCCATATATTGATTAATATAGCTGGGATTTTGACAAAATTTTTCTGCCTTATGGTGTCTTATTCTGAAAATACAGATATTGTGCTTGTTCCTTTTCCTGTTGGTTCAATGAGATCTTTGTAGATTGACTCCGGAGCAGCAGCTCCGGCYTCCAGCAAAAAATAGGATCAGTTCTAATTTTGCAGGATTGCCGTCCGCTCACCGCCACTCTGCGGAGCCAGTGTAAATACACTCATTGATTAGAATGGTTGCGTATTTGCTGCAGAGGTCGGACCGGAGCGGAGAAACATGTAGTGTAAATTAGGGGTTAGCCTCAGATGGGCGAGCCGTAAGACGTGGCTTTAGGTTGCAGGTTAAAGATTAAAGGTAGTTCTAAATGAAGTAGAAAAAAACACCCCGACTTCAGCTTCTTTGGAAGGACTTCCAGGTGATAACAGCATCTGTAACCAGTGTCTTAAAGGGCTGGGACTGTAAGAAACCAATTTGCAACAAAAAGAAAATAAATTATTTTTTTATTTGTTGTCTTACTGTGTTTCGTCCCATTTTATGCAAAGAATTTTGATAATCACAACCTGTTTTAATGCACTGGGTTGTACACAAATAAATCTTTAGAGTTTAGTCTTTCATCATTTTTAAAAACATTGGTGGCACCAAACTCACTTTATTGCTTCTGAGCCATCATGGATTTGTTTCTACATTTTGGCTTTGTTTCGGTCGTATTTACGAAACTTTTGTTCTCATCTTTAAGAGATTGATGGTGAACAGATGAGCCCTCTGAAAGCTCTTTATTAAAACCAGGTGTTCACTGWATACTGATCCGGCTGTAATTCTTTGTGTACATCCAGGGCTCCATCGTTGTTGGAATCGCTTATGACTGCAAGGAAAATCAAGTCTATTGGACGGATTTGTCTGCGAGAACCATTAACAGAGCTTCCATGGTGTCTGGGGCTGAGCCCGAGATACTCATTAACTCAAGTAAGAATGTACCCTTACCCTTCTTTGTTTGAACAATACATTTTGCACTGAGACTACAAAGCTGTCTGCTCCTTGTAGATCTCGTCAGTCCAGAAGGTCTGGCGGTAGATGTCAAGCGTAGGTTGATGTTCTGGGTCGACTCCACCCCCGATGTGATCGAAAGCGCCAACTTGGACGGCAGCGAGAGACGAATTCTGTTTGACACCGACCTGGTCAACCCTCGAGCCATCATCGTGGTGTCGTCCACCGGGTAAAGTAGCCTAAAATATATAGTTTTTAAAGCACTAAAACCTCGATTCATAGATTAGGGCCTCGTCTTCAGTTAGGAGGGTATGGTGAAGAGAGTTGCATCTAAAGGCAAAGCTCTCTCTATTTACTGGTCAGTCTATGTTCCAACCCTCACCAGTCATCATGAGGTTCATGAAGAACCACTTCCTGGATCCAAGTGGCTGAAAGAATCTTCCTTCGTAGGGTAACCAGACTCGGATAGGGTTCATCTGATTAGGAAGCCTCCCTTTGGAGGTATTCTGGACATGTTCCATTGGTAAGAGATGTCGGGGCAGATCCAAAACTCTAGATGAAATATACATCCTACTGGCTGTGGAAACACCATGGAACACCCAGGAAGATCTAGATCAGGGATGTCAAACATTTTCCCTGAGGAGTACATGAGCATTATGGTTGTGTTTAATTTCAACATTTCATTTATCTTCAACTAAACATAAAATGTCACGTTCCTGAGCACCACTAACAAACAATAACTGAGCTCTACGTGGTATTTCCTGCATAGAAACAGTGTTTTAACACCTCCTCTTATGAAAACTGAAAACAATGTGTATGACTGACTGTGAAATAAATCAAACAAAAAAGATTAAAGTAAGAGTTTTATCAAGTATCAAATGAAAAAAAAAAGAAAATGTATAGATCCATTTACAGGTTACATAAGTAGATAAATTCACATTAAGTCTGTCTAGATCTTAAATGGTTTTCATTGCCTTTTTGTTCTCCAGAGTTCTTTGCTGAAGTGGATTATGTTAGGCTTGGAGTTCAACCAGTTCTTGTGAATGGTTTTCCCAGGAAAAGTAGAAATTGGATGAAGTAGAGCAAGTCTTTATCCAAAAAGCATAGTATGTCTTTCTCTGTAAGTTGAATAGTTTGTCAAGTTTTCAGTCTTATAAGTTGTTGTACATCTGTCCAAAATGTATTTGTATGAGTACATTATTAGAATAAATGAGAAATTATTTCCATGTATAGTTCAGACTGTCAACAATGGACAATAATACAACAATAGTCAATATCCAGTTTAAACC